CACCAGAACCAACGAATCCAGCAGAAAAAGCTATTAACCAATAATTTAAAATGCTAAGAGTCTCTTCAGTTGCAACAGCAGCCACGAATGCCTCAGTTATTCCATTAACCCCCATAATTGGAACATATAAACAATAAGCTGATAACACTAATGGAGCAAGAGATTGAGACCATACAGATCCGACGAGAAGATCAATTAATGCACCAGTATAATTCGTAGCAAAGCCGATAAAAAGAAGTCCAAGAAGTATGTGAAATTTTATTAAAGTTGTTAAAACTTTTAATGAAGTGAATAAAGCAGTTTTTGGTGCTTCAGAGATCTTTATATCATCTTTTCTGTCAACGTTAGATAAAAGCTTAGAAAATAAAGTTCTACCAGTTTCCTCAAGTGGTTGAAATAAAATGCGAGCAACAAGAGAACCTAAAAATAAAAAGTTAAAAAAAGTTGAAATAATTATTTTATATAAAGTTTGTAATAATATTTTAATATTCATACCTTACCATAATTTACAACAAAAGCATAAATTCCTTGATCAGCAGGACTACTCAACCATGCTATCAACATTTTATCACCCTCAGTCAATATATGTTTTAATAAAGATTGTTTTGTAAATGTTTTTGCAAGACTAAAAAGATGAGTATCTAACCAAAATTCGTTATTTCTTTAGGAAAATTTATAAAAAATAAAATAACAATATTTTTAACAAAGAATAAAAAAGTTAGAATATTATATGATATGAATATGAAATAAATAAATAAATAAATAAATAAAATAAACGGAAACATACTTTTTATCACATAATTTTCGAGGAAACAATAATCTAATATCAGTTTTATAAGCAAAGTAACCAATATAACCAGTCATCATTACTAAAGTAAAAGAGAATTGAGCCACAGCAAAAGCCAAGATACCAAAAGTATTTTGATATTTTTCATCATCTCCTTGAGCACCTAAAAGAGTCAAAGCAAGAGTAATAACACAGCGAACAATAACACCTATTCCTTCACAGCTTATACGAAGTTTGAAAATCAAATTATTCATAGCAGATATATAAAATGGTTCAATTATAAGTTCACCAAAAGCTGATAAACCATATAAAACAACCGAAGTTACATAATATGGAGTGCTCAAAGTTTCCTCGGGAGCATAATAAATGTAAAAAGCACAAGCAAGGAAGGTAGTAATTATTCCAACAGGAATAGGAACATAGGATAAATTTGTAATTTTTTGTATAGAACCTTTTTCAGAATCAGCCTGTACAGTCTTTTCTTTAGAGACATTATCATTATCGACTACAATGGAATCACCACCACCTCTTAACAAGGCACATCTGAATCCTTCACGAGATAAAAATAATATTGTAGCTAATAATAATTCTAATTGAACAGATGCAATGCCAAAAGTTGCAGGATCGGTATAACGCAATACAATTTGATGTAGAATAAAAGTTGCAAGTCTGCTTACAAGTTGTAGAACAACAAGAGAGGAAGCACCAGAAACTGAAGATGATAAAATTTGAGAAATGTCATTTGATGATTCTGACTGATCAGACCCTGTTGCAGGTACAATATTTTTTTCATCTTTCTGAGATGATTGTTTGACATCCTTTATATGTTTTATGCTTGACATTTTCTTTAGAATTACACACGTATCACTCAGATATGCAGAAAAAATTTCAAAATAGCAAATTTTATGCGTTATAAGTTTGTTAACTCTCATGTGATAAAAGTATAATGATCTATCTATCTTTAGAAATAGATTTGACGTACTATCGTTATTTAAGTATTTACGTACGTATTTACATGCACATAACAGATAATAAAAAAAAGGGCTACCGCTACGTAACGTACGTAAAACATATACGATTCCAAATAAAGATATTGGTGAATTAAATTTCCCAATTCAGCACCACACTAGTTTAATCTAAAACACGAATGGCTAACGCTAATAATTTTATAATAAATAAAATAGACGATATAAACATGTAATAATATTATTCAAACAAATAGACGTAATAATTCTGTCAAAAATAAAATTTCCGATGGATTTCGAGTTAATTAACAATAGCGATAAATTTAAAATTGTTTTTACAGATTTGACATCACAAATGTTAGATTTAAAATTACGCTGTTGCCTATAACAAATTGACCTTTATTCAAGAAAATAGCATCTATTTTCTTATGTTTAGAGTGTAATTTCGTTTAATATAGATGGACGTGTACATTTTAGTGCTTGGATCCGTAGACATCCGACTATCTTTTAGCTTAATCCGCCGGATTTTTATATCCGGTCATAAACTATCCGATGAAATCTGTTTGAATCCGGTGAATTGATTAAAAATTTATTATAAAATAACGATAATGTTTATGAAGGAATATGCATATTTTCTTGACCGAAAAA